TGCGGGACCTAGCTCTAGCCGTCTGAGCAGACAACTGCAGGGTTCTTCCGCTGATCCGGTCACTGCGGCGTCGCTGGGTGTATCCAAGGATTTTCTCAGCTGCCCCATAGACTGAAGTCTTCAGTGACGACCACTGGTTACTAACTTATCCGTCGGCTCGGGTCGTAAAACAGGTCGGATTTCTCTGCCTAGGGCCTCGGCAGTGCTAGCTTGCCGGATTTTTGCGACATCGAGGCGTCTAGGACGTGGCATTTTTGGCGCGGATGAGAGATGAACTTTCAAGCATGTACGGACGAGGACATGGTCCGACCCATGGGCGTTACCAGTCTCGGCACCACGCATCGATCTGCTATCGTGAACCCAGCTGCAGAACCTTGAGCTGACTAGTATATAGCCAATCTGACTGGCCGTATGACCGTCGTTTGAATACCAGGTCAGCAGATGTTTTTCGCGATGCTGGAAGCATGTGTTAGTGACAAGCAACCGGTTTCGATCGGCGAAGTTCGGCAATCTCTCACCACTTTCACATCGGTAGCCAATCCCAAAGCGGCCAAGACGATGACTGGTTGTGGGGTCGCCAGGTCCAGTTCGACCATTCCTGTCGCCAGCAACAATCAGCAGATCGTGGCGAGGCAGTCTTTCAACTAGCGCTTGCAACTGAGAGTAAAACGCCTCTTTATCGCGCTGTTCGGCAGCCGAAGTTGATGCGTACACAGCAACGATGGAGATGTTCGTAAAGTGACCCTTCAGTCGCACGTAGGCCATCCGGTCATTGACTGGTTCCCAAGCAAGTAGCGCGAGGTCCGCTTGTTGTGATAGGACGATCGCCACACCGTGCCGACCAGAAGAATCGCGCGGGCCGCTGTGGTACAGGGTGAAGTGTGATTCGACTCCAGGGATCTTTATTTCACGGGAGCCTGAGTCAGGGAGTCGAACTTCAGAGAGACAGCAGACATCCACGTTGTACTGATAAAGGCTGCGTGCGGTCAGACTTTTGGTACCAGGGTCCAGGAACGTTCGCACATTCCAGCATCCAATACCGAGAGTCCGTCCACGATTGAGTAGTCCAGCTCGCATACTATTCGTCCGCACCACTGGACCAGGGTTGCGGAGCGCGTCGGTTCCCGCGGACGCCGTAGCATGGGACGTAGTACTGTGATTGGACATGTTTCATGAGGTTTCTTGGGAATTTCGAATACGGGCGGGTCCCCAACAGCCGCTCGGATTGTTTGTTCGAGGTAGTCTCCTCTAGCGCTTTGGCTGAAAAGCCTAATCACAAGGCAGCTGTGGCAAGTAAACTTATTTAATGGCGGTTTACGGTCGCCATGTCACAATGCCGTCATTGGGTTTTGCGGCTTTTTATAAGGCTTTCAGCGTGCCAGACATCAGCCCACCGCACCCTGGTAGCAATGTCGCTGCTGGTCCGCGACTGCTTATTCGTCAGACCTGGGTCTGCTTATTTCGCAGCTAACCTTCATTGAAGGTCGTCCCACTATCCGCCACCTGTGGACGCGCCGGGTAGCCAGCAGCTAGGCTAACGGCCAACCCGTCTTCGGTTGTTGTGCGGACACATTCCCGATCAAGGAGAAACAAACCAGCCTGGCTTCGTTGCTTCAAGCCCACCCGACGATAAGTATCGGTTGAAACTTGGGAGTGCAACATGTTCATTACCTCGCTGTTTTGAAAAGTAAAGTACCCAAAAATGCAGATTGACCCATTACTTGACCAATCAGACTAGACAATGTGTTCACCTGACGTCATTGCAGCTGAATTGTAGTGTATACAGAACATTCCTCACCACGACAGTTATTCAGAACTGTTTACTCCGTAGAATATATCTGAATAGTCAAGCAAACTGATCGAAGTTACCGCATACGTAAATTCATTGTTAGCATCCCGCGGCGACGTTAGTATCGAGTTAGAATAAAGTGACCATTTTCTAAACATTTCCACCGCCTAAAGTACAAACGTTATTCTCAGCCTGATTAGTTTTCCCACTTGACACAATCGAGTTTTTCCAGGCTACCCCTGTCTTCCGTTACTTCTTAACTTGTTCCTGTTGGGCAGGCTGCCTTGGTCCTGATGTGTTTAGTATGCGATGGCTACTGTGCGAACGCTAAGGTCGTTTTTTAGTTTGTGCGTTATAACGAGGTGTCAAGAGTGGGCGGGGACGACGACAGCTACAGGTTATGCCAGCTGACCCTATACACTGGGGGATTTCGTGCGGCTGCGGAATCTCGATTACTCGGTCGTTTGCAGGCAGAGGACAAAATTACTTGCTGGAATGTTTTTGGTGATGTTGTGTTATGGTTGCTCTCACCACGCATAAGCTTCATCTCTTACCGACCTCAGCGCCTCTTGACCGGTAACTGACCGGTATTGACATGATGAGAGGTTTTCGCCGGTTTGTCCTCTGAACGAATCAAATCCTTGGGGCAACGCGTGTTGTAGCATAGTATGTGGCGTGAGCTGTTCTAGGGAGTTACCAGGACCCCGTCAGTGCCGGCTGTCTACCTAAAAAGCCTTTGAACACAGACCAACGGGAGCCCGTGGCAGGGACTGGATAACTAAAACGGTTAACAATGTAAAGAGGATGAACAAACGATCTCTGGAGTAGTAGGTGTATTAGTCTGAGCTTTCGATTTCGGACAGGAGGCCATCGTCAGAGACTGCGAACGCGGCATCAAATGAGCAGTTTTTATAGTCAAGCCATGAAGGGGGGGATATATGAGTGCAGAGGGTAATATTCGCGATAAGTTGAGTCCCATGCCGTCTCACGACGGCGCGACTGCGTGCATCCTTTGGCTGGAAATTGGGTCTCGCCTCTTGGCCTCGGGAACGGAGCACGTGACAGCGGGGGCGGGGGTATGTCAACGTGTCTGTTGATAGAGTTGCTATCAGACACCCAGGCCTTCAACAGTTCTCGTCCTGTCTTATTACTGGCTCGCGCTACTACCCGCTTGCTCGCGAAGTTGAATTCGTGGCCTCCCTCCAGGGTGCGAGTGGCGACCTGAGACAACGGGTTGCCTCCGAACCGCCCGTTTATGCTCCGTTATTTATGAGCTAAGTCGCCGTCCGGTCTGTCCTGTGTAGTGGCGAGGGCAGCCCCAACATGGGATCTGATAAACGACACCCGATTGATCTCCCACGCCTAGTCGATCCTTCACACGCATGATTTAGTTGCGCATGGTCGCTGTCGGACGATGAACAACACTCACACCGAGCTCTCCAGCGATACGCTCCATCGCTTCGGACACGTTATTTATATATGGTAGAAGGTGCCATAATGTTGACGGCTCTCCGCCGTTTGTTCGCCGTCAGTGCGTGCGGAGGCAGTGGCTGACAAAGCTGTTCGGGTATCCATTCCTTGCCAGTTGGTCCTGAAGATGCCGCGGTTCTCCTACTCGTACTCGGTTAGCAGTGTACTTTCGGGCCGTGATGCTTCTTAGGCATCTAGTTTTGGTCGTCGCCAGAGTCGTTTTTACTGCCGCACAATCACCAGACATCATGCATGAGTCTGTTACGGACTTGGGCCGGCTCGTTCGGATAAGTATGCGGTTGGTATGATCGGGATGTGGCCAGCTTTTCATTATAGGACGAACAGATATCTCTTGGGATGTCGGAAACAGGTATTTATAATGGAAGTTGATTGTTCACCGCGAGTTTTGCAAGCCTTTTACCAGTCACAAAGGTTTCCATGGTTTTATACCCAAATTCGCATTGTGTATGCATTCCGTTTTCGCTGCCAGACATTCCTGTCCCCCACAACAATGTCACACCAAGGAATATGTCGAACCACTGACCGCAGCTAATCACAGAAGACCCCTTCCTGCATATCATCGGCATCCAGTTTTGGGACGTATACTATGGCTGAAGTCTTGGCAACAGGTGCAAAATGGCGTGCAAGTCAATCCTCTTTGATACCACCCCCGACGCTAAAGTGAAGCTTTGACCTAATAACTTAGAGAACTCTACGTCGATCAGCTTTGCTTGTGACACTGCTGTGGTAGATTTGGAGACAGTTGTTAACTTCTGACATCTCGGTGTAGTGGGAACCATGGTCGGCGAACCCGTCTCGAGACTAAAGTATATCGTATTGTGCCAGTGCCCGCACGGGTGGGTTGCGCGTTGCTGGTGTCAGAGATGTCCTTACATGCCTTTCGCAATTCTTGCTTGGTTACATATTTGCCATCTGACTCACTAGCGGTGGCTCGAAGCCGTTGTTTGCGGTAGATGCGGCAGTTAGTTTGCCAGATCCTAATTCTGCTTATTCACTAGCTGTCAGTCTGTTTTTTTCACAGCCGACCTTCACTTAAGGCCATTTCATCGTTCTCCACCCGTCATTGATTTCTTAGCCAACAGTTAAATGAACAGATAGGTACTGTAATCCCTGAAATTTTGGGTTTCAGGTGGTTGGTTCTGGTGTTTAATAAAATTGTCGAGCTTACTTCCGAGTTGCAGAACTTTTGTGGCATTTGAGGCGCTGTTGCGTATTTAGTGGTAAGATCCCTCCTTCGTGTTACTCCAGTGGTGGTTGAGGAACTGCCTGTTTGAATTGTCTACGAAACCGTTCTTGGGACCCAAATTTATCTAATGTGGGAGGAAATAGGTCCGGAGCGACGTGCCGTGCTATTTCATTTTTCGTACGATGGGCTTTTTCACATCCCTTGACAACTGCCTAGACCCCATCTCCAAGCAAACTGCACGCTTTATATATGGGGCAGCATCTCCTGAGAATGGTTCCGTTGATATCAGTAAATGCAATCCCAATAGCAACAGGCTGTTGGGCGGTGATGTGAAAGACATGCAGAACCCATTGAAGCAACCTTTTGGAGAGCGAAGATCGCGGAAATCCTATATCCGAGCTTTATAAGACTGTTGGACTGTCAGGGTTTCACTCAGCGGCCTATAAACAGAAGGGAATTGTGATCTAGCGACACCTAACTCTCAACTTTAGACTAGGGGAGTAATTCGAAACAAGACCGACCTTATACAGAGGCAGTAAATAATAACACGGTTTTCATAACCTATGCAATATATCATATGAGGCCTACGGTCTAGGCATGACATTATATCATTAAAAGGAGTGGTACGCAGTGGACTTTTTTTTTAGATAGAAACCGTTTTGTCAAAAAGCGTACATGCATCTGGAGCTCATTGCCCAGTTTGCCTACCCTTAAGCTTGACCACTGGCACATCCAGATCGGAATTAATAGGACGTTGTCTTGACGTAGATCGCTGGCATGTTCCGAGCCCGGATACGGAGAGCCTTAAGGCCTTGATGCTCCGGTATTGGTACTTAAGGCTGTAGGTTGGACATTAGCCTAAATTGAATAATCCAGGTAGCTGATATCTGGGAGAAAATAGGTGATTGCATCTCAGTTGGCCAGAAGTTAGAATTCACAGATATATTGACCCAACTGTGAAAACCTCGGCGCCTCGGTGGGATTCGAACCCACGCAGTAAGGGGAAGGCTTTAGCGCAGCGAACGCTCTAACCACCTGAGCTACGAGGCCCCTGAGAGGTGGTTAGAGCGTTGGCTGCGCTAAAGCCGTCCCCTTACTGCGTGGGTTCGAATCCCACCGAGGCGCCGAGGCTTTCACAGTTGGGTCAATATGAATTATTCAAAATCTGTCAAAATATCAGTGAATTTACAGACAGTCACTTGAGCACTCTTGGTTTTCTCATTGAGTTCTGTCTAGCATGAAAACTAGCTACGACAGGTTTGAAATGTTCTGTTTGACCTAGGGAATATTATGTGGCTGCAAGATCTGATCTAAGCGCTCGCCGCCACCGGACGACTTTTTTTCAGGAAGACAAGCGGCATTCTGAGTTCACGGGGTCGGCTGACAATTGGGATTTTTGCTTGGTTTGGTCAACGATTCTTACGTCATTAGGGTCATATTTTAACCTCAACTTAGAGGTGCCCATATCAGTCGTGCTGTTATGGATTTGACGGACGGGAAATGTCCCTCGTCCACGTCCATGATCCTTTTATTTTATTTTGACGTGGGGAAATGTTTCTCGGACGACTGACAGGTGCATCGTGATGTCCATAAATGACAGACCCGCGCGGGGGTGGTCGCGACCCAGGCTAGAGGATAACCTTGAGATAGTCGAGTTTTGCCCACCATTCTATTCCTCTTAACGCTAACTGCTGTCTAAAAAGGAATCTAAATATTAGATACTAATCACCCACCCTATAGCAATTTGCATTTTACTTTGTTCTTAGGCTGTCACTTACTTCTCTAGGCCTCGTCTTTTAGCTACGGTCGTAAGTAGTTGGAAAACAAAGTCAGTCGTGAATCAACAGTCAAGGCTAGCGTCCTTATTGTGTTTCTTTGTGCCAACGTGGTCCACTGCTAACTGCTGGAAGTGACTAGTTAGACTCAGAACCTGCAGCACAAATGAGTTGGTGGAATGATTTTCCGAAATAATTTTAGGCTGTCATGATTCCCCGCGTAGTTTTTTTGCACATATCCCGAAATATGGTAACTGACTGCGGACGAGGGATGGGACGCTGTCGGCATTTCCACGCGCCTTGGTTCAAACTGTTGCTCGGGACACTCAAGGGCTAATGGGGATGGCGCTCACCAAGCCGATCTAAGTACTCGAAAAAGTGTCGGTGTTTTGTTCTGCCGTCAAACTTCAGTTGGGTGTGATCATTCAAGTTTCCCATTCCTTCGACTACAGTACTTAGTGATTTTTGATAGTTCCTCACTACGTTTGCTCTCGTGGACTCAAAACTTCTGCCGGGTGGTACTGTGACAGTTTATTCGGTGTGGCGATAGCGACCAACTCTCATTTTCCAGTTCACTGCTTTCGCATGCATACGACACAGTCTTCGTCTTACCGACACCGTTACGCCGGCAGATGACAGTTCGACCATCGGTTTCGATGATGTCCACCGTGTGCCCCACAGTTGCAGCAGCAGTGGGAGCAGGGACGGTGACTTACGCAGGGGTTTATAGTGCCAGTAGACTTGCGTAGCATCTACCTACACTCTCTCCTCCTCCCTCGCCCGAGCCCGGTGTTAAGACAGATTCCAGAAGACCGGAGACGAGGGGGTCGCAGGTGGATGGCTCGGACGGATCCTCACCTTGGCGTTCCACCACACCCCCTGGTCCACACAACAATAACCAGGATGTAGGGGGTGTAGGGGTGTCCAGCGGTGGGTTCACGTGATCAGATCAGATCAGATCAGATTTATTAAGGGAAAGGTAGGCGAGCGCCTTTGAACTCCCTTTTGGTTACAATAACGTCATAAAAAACAATGTGTAAGGCAAGTGTGAAAAAAATTAGGTAAGTAGTTACATACAACTAGCATTGGTCACTGGTATGAATTTGTCTGTGAATGCCTTCTATGTCAAAATTGTACAATATCCAGTACGGTACCGAATGGACCAAGTATTATCAAAGCAAGAGCATATGTGGCGGTCAGTAGATAGCGAAAATTGTAAAACGTAATGTTACTAAAATGGTCGTAGTTGTCGCTCACTTGCTTGCAGGTGAGACTACGCCTAGCGTCCATTTGCTTGCACCCAACTCTCACCTGTGGCTCCACGAAGCTGGGCTCTGCTCAGCGGCCACACCCCGGGCAACCGTCTCGACCGGCGGGCTAAACTAAGTGAGGGCGCTGTGCGCTTGTGCCGCGTGCACAGTGCACTGCGGGCTCCGCTGGATGGATGGTCGGATGAAAAACTGCGCCGGCATCGTCGAGACGAGGTTCTGCCTGGTACGCCGTTGGACAACTGCTGCCGGGACGGGTCTCCGCATCGCCTTCGCTGAGACGCGCCCACCCTCGCCGACGGAGACCGCGGACTCACGGCATATGCGGTCGTTCTCCACTACAAACATAAAAGTCGTGGCCCCATAGTGGGATTCGGTCGCGCCAACCAGGCACATGGGCAGCCCGATTAAGTGGCGGCACTTCCTGCCCCCACGAGGGGAAGGGCCTAGAAAAGGTGGCCTAAAAATGCTGGGTACCACGCCGTCTTCAGGCTAGCCAGGGCCGCAGACGTCTAATCATGGTCGAAACACTCAAAATCGAAACAACAACAATACCAATAACAACAACAACCATACTCATTCTCCTCATCCTACCTCTTCTACCTCTTCCTCTATCTATTCTTCTCCTTCGTCATCTTCTTCTCCACCTCCTCCCCGTCGCCCCACTCGTTGTCCCCAGACTGGCAGGGTGAGCCCGCTCACTCTGGCAGCCTGGAATGTTTGTTCCCTTTTAGACAATCCGAGGAGCAACCGACCGGAGCGGAGGACAGTGTTAGTGGCACGAGAACTCGCCCGCTACAAGGTGGACACCGCCACACTCAGCGAGACGCGATTCTCCGAACAAGGCCAGCTGGAGGAGGTGGGTGCCGGCTACACCTTCTTCTGGAGTGGTCGGCCCAGGGCAGAGCGACGAGACGCGGGCGTCGCCTCCGCCATCCGGAACGACATCGTGGGACGACTGCCCAGTCTGCCGCAGGGCATCAACGATCGCCTGATGAGCCTCTGTCTGCCTCTCCGGGGTGGGGACAAATTCGCCATCATCATCATCATCATCAGCGCCTACGCTCCGCCCATGACCAACCCCGACGCCGTCAGAGACAAATTCTACGAGGACCTGCACGCCCTCTTGGCGACTGTGCCGGAGGCGGACAAGTTGATTGTCCTTGGCGACATCAACGCCTGCGTCGGCACAGACCATACTGTCTGGAGAGGAGTGCTGGGTCCCCACGGTCTCCGCGGCTCAAACGAGAATGGTCTGCTGCTGCTCCGCACCTGCGCAGAGCACCGCCTCATCCTGACGAACACGTTGTTCTATCCGCCGGAGCGAGAGAAGGCCACCTGGAGACATCCTCGGTCGCGTCAGTGGCACCTGCTGGACTATGTCCTCGTCCGGAGGCGAGATCAGCGGGACGTGCTGGTGACGAAGGCGATCGCGGGTGCTGACGGGTGGACCGACCATCGCCTCGTCATATCGAAGATGCGTATTCGCCTACAGCCTCGCAGGAAACCACAAGGTAAGCGACCCCCAGGTAAGCTGAATATTGCCTTGTTGTCTTTGCCCGCTCACCATATTCATTTCAGCAATGAGCTAGCTCAAAGGCTAGACAACCTTCCTATCGCTGCCGACGCCGCCGCTGCCGAGAACGCCTCCGTGGAGAACCGCTGGTGTCAACTGCGAGCCACGGTCCTGTCGACGGCACTCGCCGTCCTCGGTCGTGCTCCCCGCCAACACCAGGACTGGTTCGACGACAACGACGCCGCCATCAGAAATCTGCTAGCTGAGAAGAACCGCCTACACAAAGCCTACGTAGATCACCCCACTGATGCCACCAAAGCTGCCTTCTACCGCAATCGCCGCCAACTTCAGCAACGACTGCGCGAGATGCAGGACGCCTGGACTGCTCACAAAGCCGAGGAGATCCAAGGCTACGCGGACCGCAACGAATGGAAGAACTTCTTCTCTGCGATCAAAGCTGTCTACGGTCCGCCGACGAAGCGCACTGCTCCTCTCCTCAGCGCCGACGGTAGCACTCTCCTGACTGAGAAGATGCAAATTCTACAGCGATGGGCCGAGCATTTTCGAGGCGTCCTCAACCGCCATTCCGCCATCTCTGACGCCGCCATCGAGCGTTTGCCGAAAGTGGAGAACAACGTGGACCTCGACCTCCCGCCATCTCTCCAGGAGACCATCAGGGCCGTGCAGCAGCTCTCCAGCGGGAAAGCACCCGGATCGGACGCAATCCCTGCTGAGTTCTACAGGCATGGAGGTCCCCAACTGATGGATCACCTGACTGCGCTCTTCCAGGAGATGTGGCGTCAAGGCGAAGTCCCGCAAGATTTCAAGGACGCAACCATCGTGCATCTCTACAAGCGCAAAGGGAATCGCCAAGTCTGCGACAATCACCGCGGCATCTCCTTGCTGAACATCGCCGGGAAGATCTTCGCACGAATCCTCCTCAACCGTCTCAATAACCATCTCGAACAGGGCCTTCTGCCTGAAAGCCAATGCGGCTTCCGTCATCATCGTGGGACCACGGATATGATCTTCGCCGCCCGTCAATTTCAGGAGAAGTGCCAGGAGATGCGGACCCACCTGTACTCTACCTTCGTGGACCTGACGAAAGCCTTCGACAAGGTGAATCGTGAAGGACTGTGGAAGATCATGCAGAAATTCGGCTGTCCGGAGCGATTCACTCAGATGGTGCGTCAGCTGCACGACGGTATGATGGCGCGAGTCACGGACAACGGAGCTGTCTCAGAGGCATTCGCAATGACCAATGGAGTGAAGCAGGGCTGCGTACTGACGCCTACCCCCTTCAGTCTTATGTTCTCTGCCATGCGAATGGACGCCTACCGCGACGAACGCCCCGGGATCCGCATCGCCTACAGGACGAACGGTCACCTCCTGATTCAACGGCGGATGCACTTCCAATCGCGCGTATCCACAACCACTGTTCACGAACTCCTCTTCGCCGACGACTGCGCCCTGAACACCACCTCGGAAGAGGAGATGCAACGGAGCATGGACCTGTTCTCCGCCGCCTGTGAGAATTTCGGTCTGGTCATTAACACGCAGAAGACGGTGGTGATGCACCAACCGCCACCCCACTCAGTCACAGCCCCCAACGCGCCGCCGCAAATCAGCGTGAATGGGACCCAACTGCAAGTGGTGGAGAACTTCTGTAGCGAGCGTCAAAGACAGAACCGTCAATCCCAGACTATAAAAATCAGGATAAGACCAGAGTTATGGAAGAATTAATAATCAAAAGTCAAACGACCTGACAATCCCACTCATGCCAAGCGCGTTGCGTCGAGTTGTGTTCATTCCATTCAGTTAAACAACCGGTAAGTTCAAAAATGAGGAACAGGTTGGGAAAGGCAAGATAGTCTGGCGCCTCGGCACAGTACCCCCCTCCGAGACCGGAGGCCGGCGAAAACGACGCCGAAGGATGTGTACAGGTCTAAAAGAAATGCGTGACCAACCGATCAGGAAAGTGTACATGACGACCACTACGAGTGATATTTACAGGGTCCGTAGAAGAGTGAATAAATCTGGTGGCGGATGTGTTGGAGTTGGTGGTGGCAGTCGGAGATGGCGGACAGGATGGCAGAGGGAAAATACGGGACGGTGGAATAGAGGCTCCTTGGGGGGAAGGAGAAGGTTGAGGACCACAGGGCTCATCCGGAGGAGTGTCAGGGACGACAGCCTTGAGGCGGTCCACACTCACGACCTCTTCACGATTGTCGCGCTGAATGCGGAAAGTCTTCGGCCCGCGAGAGAGCACCCGAAATGGGCCGTCATAGGGCGGTTCCAGAGGCCGGCGGACTCGATCACATCGGAGATAGACGTGAGAGCACGTTGCCAAGTCCTTCTCGAGATAAGACGGAGAGGCGGAGGACCTGGGAGGAACCGGAGAAAGTGTCCGCATAAACTGCCGGAGACGATGCAGGAGGTTTGTAGGATCCTCAACTGTACCTTGAGGGGTTGGCGAGATCATCTCACCGGGGAGTCGGACGGTGGAGCCGAACACCAGTTCAGCTGCGGAACAGTCAAGGTCCGGCTTGAGAGCGGAGCGGATGCCCAAGAGGACCAGGGGAAGGAACAACCATTGGACAGAGGCAGGGGGCCTACAATGTCCAGGTGAACGTGGCTGAACCTTGCACCGGGGCCGGGGAAAGTACCAATAGGGGCCTTGTTGTGCCGCTGGATCTTGCTCCGTTGACAGGCAATGCAAGCCCGTGTTCATGCCTTCAGGTCCTTGTGCATACCAGGCCAGACGAAGCGGTCGGAAACCAGCTTGTCGGTTGCTCGACTCCCAGGGTGAGAGAGATTGTGCAGGGAGGAGAAAACTTTACGGCGGAGGGATGGCGGCACAAATGGACGATGGGAAGGGGTGGATACGTCGCATAAAATGGTGCCGTTGCCAGTCGTCAGTGGTAGTTCCTGGAGTTGGAGTCCGGAAACATCCTCATCACAGGGTGGACCGACACGGCGTTGTTCAGCGGCCATCTCAGCGAGGTCTATCCCGGGTGAAAGCTGAAGATGAGCAATAGAGGGCCTGGACAGTGCGTCAGCCACCTCATTCCTTGACCCGTCAATATGGCGGATGTCTGAAGTGAACTGCGAAATGTAGTCCAGGTGACGGATCTCCCGGGGGCTTAGCTTGTCAGAGTGGGAATGCATCGCAAACGTGAGTGGCTTATGATCAGTGAAAATTGTGAACTCTCGACCTTCAAGTAAATGCCGGAAGTGCCTTACGGCAAGATAAGCGGCGAGAAGTTCCCGTCCGAATGTGCTGTAGCGGGTTTCGGCTTTGGATAGTTTCTTGGAGAAGAAAGCCAAAGGCACGGTAGAATCCGGCAGACTTTGTTGAAGAACCGCGCCAACAGCAACATTGGAGGCATCGACCATCAAAGATATGGGTGCATCAGCGTGAAAGTGAGTCAGGAGGGTGGCGTCAGCCAGAAGGTCTTTTACCTGCTCAAATGACGTGAGTGCGGCTGATGTAAGTTCAAAGGTGCGTTTGGGACCTGAGAGGAGATCGGTCAGAGGTAGGATGGTATCGGCACAGTTCGGGAGAAACCGGCGATAAAAGTTCACCATACCAAGAAACCGTTGCAACTGACGCTTCGAGGTAGGGGGTGGAAAGTCCCGAATGGCGGCAACTTTTGAGGGAAGAGGCCGAATACCGTTTGAGTCTATCAGGTGACCTAAGAACTCAAGAGAAGTGGCTCCTAGGACACATTTGGAAGGATGCAGGGTGACACCAAACTGCTGAAATCGGTCGAAAAGCAGGGTAAGGTGATGGAGATGTTCCTCCACATCTCGACTGGGGACGAGAACATCATCAATATACGCATAAACAAATGGAAGGCCGCGTCAAACACGGTCAATGAAACGTTGGAAAGTTTGTGAGGCATTTCGGAGACCAAATGGCATACGAAGGAACTCGAACAAGCCAAAAGGAGTCGTCACTGCCGTTTTGGGAATGTCCTCAGCCGCAATCGGAATTTGATGAAAAGCCCGCACCAAATCGATCTTCGAGAAAATGGTTTTGCCGAAAAGGGCGCCAGCAAAGTCCTGAAGATGAGGAACGGGGTACCGATCGGGCATAGTGATATTGTTTAGGGCTCTATAATCGCCACAAGGACGCCAATCATCCGTATTTGGTTTAGGAACCATGTGCAAAGGAGATGCCCAGGGACTGTCAGACTGTCGAATCATCCCTAGTTGCAGCATGTGGTCAAATTCTGCTTTAGCAGCCGCAAGACGCGCGGGAGCAAGACGGCGGGGACGAGAAAAAACGGGAGGACCAGTCGTTTTTATATGATGAACAATATCATGGGGAAATGAGGTGTCAGAAAAATGGGGCTTAGTAAGGGTAGGATATTTTGCTAAAAGTCTACGAAATGGACAGTCAGGGTTTGGGTTAAGGACGGAGAGCTGTTTCGAAACTGAGGATGGAGGAAATCCTTTGACAGTGAGGGTAGTTGCGCGATCATGGAGGCGAAGTCTGCAATCCACCAGAAGGTCAAAGGCGGCCAAAAAATCAGCAAAAAGGATAGCAGTGGGAACATCAGCAACCACAAATATCCAGGGGAATAATCGCCGGAGGCCGATATCCAGGGAGAGGGATCGAAATCCAAAGGTTGTAATGGGGGATGAGTTTACGGCCTGAAGGTAAAGACCATGGTTTGGGCAACGTCGGTCGGCTGGCGTGGGAGGGATAACACTAATCTGAGCGCCAGTGTCGACTAAAAAATGCCTGCCACTCGTGTTATCACTCACGTAAAATGTGCGACCCGTAGAGTTGCCAGAGAGCTCGGCCGCGTTTACTCTCCGGCCGAGGAGTTTCCCTGCGTGGACTTGAAGGAGCAGGGTGGGACACAGCGCCGCGCCTTATCGCCATAGTTGACATGATACCAACATAGGTTGGCGGTCCTGGGGCGAGAGCGGGAACGACGACGGTCACGACCGAAGGGACGTCGAGAGGGACCGGGGAATCGGCGCAGCTGCAAAGCGGCAACAGTCGCTGACAACTGGGCAATCTGCGTCTTTAGTTCCGCAAGGTCAGAGGTGGACACGTTGAGAGGCTGGGACACCTGAGCAATCGTCGGGGATGACAAACGCTCAACCTCCATCATACGGTCAGCCATCTCCGCTAACTTTGATATTTCTAGGTCGTCGGAGCCAGAGGCCAAGATTGTTTGTACAGACGTCGGCAGACGTTCTAAGAACATCTCTTTAAAGAACTTGTCGTCGATTTTCATGTTCCCAACCAGAGAACGCATGCGACGCAAGAGTTCCGACGGCTTGCGATCACCTAAGGCCTTCTCTTTTACTAGTGCGTGATAACGCTGCCGATCGGAGACTGATGTCAGGCGAAGAAGTTCAGCCTTTAACTTGGTGTAAGGAGCATCAGTCGGGGGATCTCTCAGAAGCGTTTGCACTTGAGAAAGAATGGTGGGAGGGAGGGCCTCGACCAGCTTATAAAACTTGTCGGTTTCACGTGTTATCTTGGCGGAGTGAAAAGTCGCCTCAATACGGAAAAAATAAAGCTCTGGCGCATGTTGCCAAAAGTCTGGGAGGGAAGAAACAAGTCCACTGAGAGAAGAAGTGGGATCATTGGAATTCGTAGAGGACATGATTGTAGAAAGAAAGAAGGCAAACGGGCGGTATGCAAATTGGAAGTCGACTAAATAAAGGTATAAGCGTGAACGTCAAGGGGTCACCACTGTAGCGAGCGTCAAAGACAGAACCGTCAATCCCAGACTATAAAAATCAGGATAAGACCAGAGTTATGGAAGAATTAATAATCAAAAGTCAAACGACCTGACAATCCCACTCATGCCAAGCGCGTCGCGTCGAGTTGTGTTCATTCCATTCAGTTAAACAACCAGTAAGTTCAAGAATGAGGAACAGGTAGGGAAAGGCAAGATAGTCTGGCGCCTCGGCACACTTCCCGTACCTGGGCAGTACTCTCTCCCGCAACACCAAGATCGACGACGAAGTCGCCAACAGGATCTCGAAAGCCAGTCAAGCCTTCGGTCGTCTCCAAAGCACAGTTTGGAATCGCCACGGTCTTCAGCTGAGCACGAAGCTGAAGATGTACAAGGCCGTCATCCTGCCGACACTACGGTATGGAGCAGAGACTTGGACGGTGTACGCAAAGCAGGCACGCCGACTGAACCATTTCCACCTCAGTTGTCTTCGTCGCATCCTGAGGCTGAACTGGCAGGATAGAATCCCCGACACTGATGTGCTGGAACGGACGGGAATCCTCAGCATCTACGCCATACTGAGGCAAATGCAGCTGCGCCGGAGCGGCCACCTGGTGCCATGGAGGACGAGCGACTACCCAAACGACTCTTCTACGGAGACGTCGCGACGGGTTCTCGCCGTCAAGGAGGCCAGATTCGCCGTTACAAGGATACCCTGAAGTCCTCCCTGAAACGCCCGCAAATCAACCCCACCAACTGGGAGGAGCTCGCACTCGATCGACCGACCTGGAGGAGGACAGTGAAGACAGGCGCTGCGATATACGAAGCCAACCGCATCGCTGCCACCAAAGCGAAACGCGAAGTCCGCAAATCACAACTTCGCCCAGTACGCAACGCCGCCCACAACCGCCTCTAACGTGTCCTCGATGTCAACGGACATTCCGGGCTCGAATCGGACTTGTGGGACATCTTCGGATTAACTGCGCCTCTCGAACTGCACCAACCAGCGTCCCCCCGCCCGCCCGCCTCTTCCTCCTCCTCTCCGCCACCAAATAACTCTGACAATTCTTCTGACCCACCACTTCCATCACCCTCCTCCTCCTCCTCCTCCTCCTCCACCACCACCACTGCCCCAACGGCGGCCGCTCAGGCGGCCGTCTCGCACATCACCAACCGCGACACAACAACAGACACCACCCCCACCTCTCCCGACTCCAGCGATGAGGATCAGGACAACACCTGCCCTCACTTCGACCGCACCTTCACCTCACACATCGGCCTGGTCGGTCACTTGCGAATCCATCGCACAGAGACTGGCGAGCCAGTGCCTGGAGCACTAACCTACACCCACCGCACTCGCCTCCACTGCCCACACTGCCCTCGCACCTTCACGCATCGCATGGGTCTCTTTGGCCACATGCGCATTCACGAGAGCGGAATTGACCACAATTCCGACACACCCATCACATCCAACTCACCCACCAGGCCCAACACCACCCTCGCTCCATCGCCACACGCGCCCATCACCACCACCACCACCACCGCTTCCTCTACAGCTGACACCGACAACGTCGACCTCTCATGCCCACACTGCCCACGCACGTTCACCTCACGCATCGGCCTGGTCGGTCACTTGCGAATCCATCGCACAGAGACTGGCGAACCAGTGCCCGGAGAACCAACCTACACCCACCACGCTCGTCTCAACTGCCCACACTGCCCTCGCACTTTCAGGCATCGCATGGGCCCATTCGGACACATGCGCATCCACGATGACCTGCGGTAGACAACCGCCGGTTACACCACACATCCACACACTCCCTACCTTTCTCCACCATCACCACCACACATCAACACGCACCAAACTGCCACCTCCCACGCAAGTGGGAAGTCCGCATCTCGACTCGGTCCCCATGCGGCTTCGGCTGCACGGGTGACTTGAGTCCGAGACTATCCCGACACGTCAAGCGTCGTGGATAGGAGGGTTGCCGATTGACGCCCGCTCTCGGCTCACGCAGTTCGTCGCGTTGTGTGTGTGTGTGTGTGTTGTGTGGAGTGGCGGACTGGTGGGCTGGGGACGGGCTGAAGCTGCACCTTCCAGGCCCTCTCACGCAAGTGAGAGACACGCCGTTCAACCCCCGTTGTGTGAAATCCTAGTGTTGTGTGTATGGGGGGCCAGTTCGTGCCGTGGCGCGCGCAGTCATGGTCAGTCGACCATGACAGCCACCGCGCCCACTCCCCACTCCAGTCTGCTGACCGGCTCGGACAGCGGCTGGGGTGTGGGAGTGGGAAGGGAGAGTGAGGTCGACGACTCAGCGCACTTTCTCCTCACTGTAAACAGTCTGACGCGCTTGAAGCTATCACGGTGCGCTAAAAGCCGTGGCTTGGAAGGTTGCCAACTGACGGGGTAACTTGGACCTCCTCCTTGACCGGAGGCGGTCTGAGAGTCAGGCTGCAATGGCTCCTTTTTAATATGGCCTTTATGGCACTCCCACCACAGTGTGGGATCCGAGCCTGACGTTGGCGGTACGCCTAGGTGCGGCTTCGGTCGTGCCAGCCTCCAAATCTCTGTTGTTGACGCCGGCAGATATTGCGCTCCTCACAGATCGGCCTCAACTGAACGCGACTCGGGCGCGCTCGCGCACTTCGCGGTGGGGGACACATCAGCGGCTGGCTGTCAATGGCCTCTCATCCGCTTGTGCGCCGACGCTGCAGTAAAGGCCCTCCTACTAACTCTGTCTCTCCAAATTTTGATTTGAGAAACTCCCGGTTGTCGCCACTACATTTCGACAAAGACACAAATTTCCACGGCATACAAAAATTCGCACGAGATCTGATTGGATTTAAATAGACTTGGAAAGGCTATGAGCAAGTTTTAGACTACTTAAATGGCTATTTGTGGATGAGCGTACCCTTCGAGTAGGCCAGAATGACGTCTTCTCAGCACCAGAATTCTTCCTCATATTAAATGTTTTCGGATTTATCGAGAGGGAGAGAGAGAAGACGTCTTATTTCGAAAGCATCACTGCAACATCTTCAGCAAATCTCTCACATAAATAATCCTTCATCGTCCGAAACTGACTTCAGCATTTTAATCGATGTTTCTTGATGCTCGTCATTACCGACGGCGGTACATCAGCCAAAAATGACCTTTCAGCCTTCCTAGATTTTGCCAGTACTGCTTGCAGAACACATTTTCCACATCAAATAACGCATACAGGGCTGGGACTTATCGAGCGAACTTAGACTTTGGGAGTTGGCTACGAAATCGACAAGTTGATTCCCAGTTTGGACGGGCAATACGTCCCGCTGAATTTAGAAAGGTGCGAAAGAAAATCAGACCCGTTGACTTCCTCCTTATTCGCACCTGGATCTCCCTCCACATCTCCCCAACGTAATGGACGGAATGATGATGCGATTCTACGGGTGTCGCACACCATTTGCCTTCTACGTCCACAAAAACGAGGCTTCAAATATATAGGGTCTAAGGTCCCATTTGATGCTCATTAGGAAGTGACCGCATCCTGACCTTCAATTCTAAGAAGGACCTATTTATTCCGTTGTTGAAAAGACTCTAATCCACGTTTATTTTCGGGTGACGGTTTCAAAGCGCGTTTGCTTGTTTGTAGTGACGAAACTAGACTTTTGGTCTGAACTAGACCGATTTCACTCTGTTGTCACTCGTCAAAGGTCTCTCGACTGACTGACTGAGGATGTTTAATGAGTTTCATCTCGGCCGTATTCGGTGCATCCTGAAGAGGTGACGGACGTAATCGACGGTCGCAATTACGATGCCTGGCCTTTTTGTCCGACGTCCCGTTGGGTGAAGGTCATCTATCATCCAAGCGCGCGGCTCCAGACGCGCCGAGTTTACGGTCTGCTCGGTTCAATTCAGTTTATTTGAGGGAAACTTAGGTGTTGAACCTTTGAACTCCCAGTCTTTTACAAGGAAGCGAATTATATCAAAAATTTGAAAATGGATACTTCCAGCCGGTACAGAAATTTTTTCAAAACCAAACAGATAAACAAATTGTTTCAAGTGTTACAAACATTAACATTACTAAATGCTCTTTATAGTAATCAGTCTATGCATAGCTGTGCGGTAGAATATTAGTACGATCTCAGTTATCTGAAGTGGACTAAGTAAATGCCAACATCCACATTCAATGGACTTAGAACGACTGCAGCATACGTTCCAGCGCGCATTTAGACGACCACATCCATGCATACCCCACTTGAGCATGCCACTTTGACGCAAATAAACTTGGACATACTCCTAAAATCTCATAAAAGCAGTTGGCACCACTGTCTCTCCCACCTCTCTCTCGTCTCTCTCACAGTCCGCACACTCCACGGCCTCATCAGCGGCCACTGCCGCCATCAGTACACCCTCTACCTGAGCCGCTACACAGGAACGAGTCCGGCACTCAACTCGCATGCTTATCAGATCTGCGATGGTCCCCCTGTTTGATCACTTTTCCTAACTCACAATCCACCTTCAATGAAGTGATCGTGTTGTACGAATCTTAAGCGGACGTCCTCCAAAGCGATTAGTATGTGGCGATGTTGCTACCACCGGCTGCAAACAGGGACAAAAATGACTGGTACAAAAATAACTCAGATGCTTCATTCAGACAGTTCAGGTGCGAGTAGGAGCCATGGAAAACACACACAGGATCGTCAAGCATGACGAACCGCTGTGGAAAATGAAATTGCAACCTTCGATACCAACCGCACTCGGAATGCGAAGGAGGAACGACAAGAAATCAAGTCAGAAATATCGAAAAACAACACTGTCACGACCCAGCGCCTCCCCATGTGTTCCCACTGCTAGCGCACACTCAGGGCTCACATTGACCCTGTCGGTTCGTAGTGGCCCTACTCCGAGCGCTTGTCTCAATGCTGGGCCTCTCGCGAGTGTCTGTCCGCACGCACCAGGGCTGTCTGGCATCCGCCCACTCGGCTCTCCAGCTGGCCAATCAGGTTCAAGGCCGAGTCAGACGTGTCCTGTCCTAAGACGCTTTGACGCATTCCCTGACGAGAACGGGGGGCGCTGCTCACCCGCGCCGGACGTGCCCTCGTCCGGCTGCCACCTCTATCCAACCCCTTCTCCAGTTATTCTGTACAGAATAAATTATCCTCCCCATTGGCGTCCACCTACTCTTTCCACTCGTGACGGGGCCTGAAGGTCGTGGTATCCAGAGTCTCACTCGCGGCCTAGTCCATCTGCGATAGGTTGACTTATCGTCCATTGTAATGACAACGTGGGCACTGTACTGAGTTAGGATGCCCAAAACACCACAGCTCAACAGCAGGCGCATGCAGGCCTTCACGCAACTATCTACAAACATCGTTCACGACATGCTCTTTGCCGAGGACTATGCGCTGAACACCATGACCGAAGTGGATATGCAACGGACCAAAACACCTTGCCACCAGGTGCGCCAGCTTCGACCTAACTGTCAACGCGGACAAAACAGTGGTCATGCACAAACTGTCACCCAACACGCACCACATCACTCCTCGAATCACTGTCGACGGCCACCAACTCAAGACTGTGGATAGTTTTGACGTAAATTATGTCGTTCCCGCGAACTAAAGAACTACGGCTTACTAACCTCATAAACGGAGAGAGGTAAGGAAGGCCAGTAAGTGAATAAAGTTAATGTTCAAAATGTGCAACGACCTGACCAGAGAGCATGCAAGCGGCGGAGTCTTCGTCACGTTAAAACAAATGCTACAGTAAAACAAACGTGACAATATTGTCAAAGGTCAAGTAGTCAAGTACTTCAGCACAGTACCCCCTTCCGAGACCGGAGGGCGGCGTGAACGACGCCGGAGGACATACAAAGGTCTAGGAGAAATGAGTAACTAGACGATCGGGAAAGTGAACGTGACATCCACTGCGGGTAATATATGCGGGACGCACCGTTGGAGGCAGCTGAGTAGGTGTTGTAGTGGACAAGTTAAGGGTGGAGGAAGAGGTTGCAGTTTGATGCTGCGAACAAGAAGGAAGAGGAAGTATACGGGACGGAGGGATAGGTGGGGGGAGTGGAAAAGGAGTGGGAGGAGGTATGGGGTCAGCACATGCTTGTCCTTGAGACACGTCCGGGGCCTCCTCTGCAACAGCAGCCTTGACCCGGTCGATGCTGACTACGTCCTCTTTGTCACCTCGCAGGATCCGAAATGTCTTGCTGTTACGTGCAAGCACATGGAACGGTCCTTCGTATGGTGTTTCTAACGGCTTGCGCACACGATCACACCGAACGAACACATGGGTGCAGTTGGCTAAGCCTTTTTCAACATAAGGCTCAGTCGATGGAGCTCGAGGTGAAACCGGGGAAAGCGAGCGCATGAATTGTCGCAGGCGATGCGCACAATTTTCGGGGGGTCTCTTCGGCACCACGAGAGGTTCGGGTGACAATCCCACCAGGGAGTCGGAGGGTAGTGCCGAAAACCAATTCGGCTGCGCTGCAGTCCAAGTCTGACTTCAGTGCTGCACGAATGCCAAGAAGTGCAACGGGTACATTGTCTGACCAGTTTTCGGGATCTTCTGCGGCACGCAGTGCAGTGTTTAGCTGGCGGTGGAAACGCTCAACCATGCCGTTGGCAGCTGGGTGGTAGGCCGTCGTCCGAATACTTGTGCAGCCAAGGAAGTTGAGGAGAGTTCGGAAAAGTGTGGACTCAAACTGCGCGCCTCGATCAGTCGTAATCATGGATGGCGCACCGAATATGGCGACCCAACGACTGACGAAGGCTTTCACAATGGTCTCAGCTTGCACATTC